GAACTATTGCATAGAAGAAGGTAAGAAGAAGTTTTACTTTATGCACATGACCCTTCAAATTCAGGATGCTCAACTCCTGTCATGATGGTGTGTAAGTTGCTTAACTCTAAGGTAAAAGTTAAAAGACATTTTGGCAAGACAGCACAGCTCATTGCCAAGAAAGAACTCCTGTGCCTGTAATTTCTCCCATGAAAGAGAGTGAGAGTGTGTGAGAACCTGGCCCCCCCAATCACACTGGATATTGTCTGTGAGGCCCACCTCCTTCTCATACCTCTCAGAGTACTGAGATTAACTGCATGGCTGAAGGGTGGGAAGAAGCTGAGAGCACAGCAACCAGGGCACAGAACTCATCAATGAGATGAGGATCCTACTAACCACTTTATGGACTCCATTAGGAAGCCCACCCACTCGCCACCGGGGATACCGTACCTGTGGACTTCCCCAGTGAATCTATAGACACTACAAGGCTCCATGCATCTCACTCACCCCACTCCAATGGTCAGCTTCTTTTCATGCCTATGGTGAGTGCTAGTCTTTGCAGATGACTACAGAGAATATGCAAAAAGCTGGTCTGGCTATGTAGGATTGGGAGAAGGCACACAAACTTGAGCATTTCAGGGCACCAGCATAGGGAGAACGGGCAGGAGGCTCTCAGCACTCTACCTCACTTTACAGTTTTAAGAGAACACGGATTGTGGAACAGGCACATCCATAGAAAAGATCTGAGATGCTCAGAATCTGAAGCTAGACTGACTAGTGAAGCTATTTCTTTGCTAAAGCCAGTCAGTAAAGACTAGAGAAGGTGCCTGCTTCTTCAAATGCAAAGACAGCAATGCAAGACATCAAGGAACATGAAAAGCCAAGAAAACACTGCACCACCAAAGGAACACAATAATTATCAAGTAACTCTCCCCATAGAAATGAGATCTACAAATTGCCTGACAAAGTATTTAAAATAATAGTTTTAAGAAAGCTCAGAAAGAGCTATAGGGGAACACAAATAAAACTCTATGAAACATATAAAAAATACATGAATAAATGAGAGGCTCAGCAGTGAGATAAAAATTATTAAAAAGGCACCAAACAAATTCTGGAGCTGAAAGTTATCATAAATAAAATTTAAAACAAACAAACAAAAAACCATAGAGAGTATCAATCACAGACTTTATGAAGCAGGAACTCAAAATCTGTGAACTCAAAGACAAGTTATTTGACATTGTCCCGTCAGAGCAGAGGGGAAAAAAGAATGTAAATGGAAGCAGCCTACATGAATTATAGAATACCATCAATGAAAAAAATATATGCATAATAGGAGTCCTAGAATAAGAAGAGAGAGAGAAAAGGACAGAAAGCTTGGTTTTAAAAAAGTGAGTGAAAACTTTCCAAATCTAGAGAGAGAGATGGACATCTAGGCTCATAAAGCTCATAGGACTCCAAACAGATTCCACACAAAGAGGACTTCATCAAGACACACTGAAATGAAACCTTTGAAAATCAAAGGCAAAGAGAATTTGAGAGCAGCAAGAGAAAAAATCTCATTGCAGCAAATGAAACCCCCATAAGGCTATCAGCAGTTTTTTTAGCAAATACTTTGCAGGACAGGAGAGAGTAGGATAATATATTCAAGATGCTGAAAGAAAACAAAACAAAAATAACCCTGCCAGCTAATACCTGGCAAAGCTGTTCTTCAAAACTAAAGAAACAATATAAATTTCTACACAAAAACAAAAGCTGAGGGAGTTCATTACCACTGGACCTGCCTTCCAAGCTGATATGAAAGGACAATATGAGCTTTTAGCAACGTGAAAGTAAAAAATTCATTGGTAAAGGTAACATTCAAAATATTAAACCACTCTAAAGGTGGGACATAAATCATTTAACTCTAGGATAGTGTTAAAAGACAATTTGTTAATAGATGCACAATATAAAAATATGTAAATTGTGACATCAAAAACATAAAATAAGGAGTAGATTTTTTGGTATGTATTTGAAGTTAAACGATCAGGTTTAAACAGATTATTATTACTCTAAGATGGTTTGTGGAAGCCTCATGGTAGCCACTAAGCAAAAAATATCTAGTATATACAAAAGCTAAAGAAGAAAGAATCAGTATGTCCTTTTTGGAGGAGTGTCTAATCAGGTCCTTTGCCCATTTTTAAATTGGATTGTTTTTTAGTTTTGAGTTTTATAAGTTCTTTATACATTTTAGATATTAACCCCTTTTATCAGATATACTGGTGAAAATGTTCTCTTATTCAGAGGGTAGCCTTTCATTTTTTTGGTGGTTTCATTCTCAGTGCAAAAACTTTCTAGTTGGATGTAGTTTGTTCAATTTTTCTTTTGTTTCCCTTGTCCAAGGAGATATATCAGAAAAAAATATTACTACAAGAAATGTCCGTGATTTTACTGACTATATTTTCTTCTAGGATTTTTATGGTATTAAGTCTAACATTTAAATCTTTAATCCAATTTAAGTTTATTCTGTGTGTGCCATGTAAGAAGGTGGTCTAGTTTCATTTTTTTGCTCATATCTCTCTGATTTTCCCAGCACCATTTATTGAATAGACTATCTTTAGCCCATTGTATGTTTTATGTGCACTGTTGGTGGGAATTCAAATTGGCGCAGCCACTGTGGAAAGCAGTATGGAGGTACCTCAAAAGATTAAAAATAGAATAGCCTTATGACCCAGCAATTCCACATCTGGGAATTTATCCAAAGGAACCCAAAACACTAATTCAAAAAAACATATGTACTCCTATGTTCATTGCAGCGTTATTTACCCTAGCCAAGATTTGGAAGCAGCCCAAGTGTCCACCAGTACATGAGTGGATAAAACAGCTATAGTACATTTATACAATGGAATACAACTTGGCCATAAAATGGGAGAAAATTTGACCCTTTGCAACAGCATGAATGGACCTGGAGCACATTATGCTAAGTGAACTAAGCCAATCAGAGAAAGACAAATACCATATGATTTCACCCATATGTGGAATTTAATGGACAAGCTGAACTAACAAGCAAAATAGAGACAGACTCATAGGTAGAGAACAGGCAGGCAGCCCTGGTGGGCAGGGGGCTGTTGAGGGGATGAGCAGATTGACCAAAAGAGAAAAAAAGAGAGAAAGAACTCATAGACACTGACAACAGTGTGGTGATTGCCGGGGGAGGGATCTGGGGGGGGGGAAGGAAGAGGGTATATGGGTAGAGTGGAGATAAATGTTGATGGAAAAATAAAATAAAGGAAAAAAGAAGGAATCAAAACATACACTACAAAAATCATCATATGATAAAGGAAGACCACACAAGAGCAGGAAAGGAACAAAGGAACTACATAAGAGCCAGAAAACCATGGACAAGGTTCCCCAGTGAAGTTGTCTAGTCCTAGAATTTTGTTGGTTAAGGGGTTTTTAATGACTGATTCAGCCTCCTTACTAGCGATCAGTCTGTTTAGATTTTGCTTCTTCATGATTCAGTCTTGGTAGTTGTACGTTTCTAGTATTTAATCCATTTCTTCTAGGTTGTCAAATTCATTAGTGTATAAATATTCCTAGTAGTCTTTTATGATCCTTCACATTTCTGTAGCATCAGTTGTAACATATTCTCTTTTACTTATGATTTTATTTATTTGGGTTCTTTTTCTTTTTTTTTTTAGTGAATCTAGATAAAAGTTTGTCAAGTTGATCTTTTCAAAGAACTAGCTCTTACTTTCATTGACTTTTCTGTTGTCTTTCTATTCTCTCTTTCCTTTATTTCTGCTCTGATTTTTGTTATTTCCTTCCTTCTACTAATCTTGGGTTTCATTCGTCCTTTTTTTAGTTTTTAGAGGTGTATAGTTATTTATTTGAGATTTTTCTTCTTATTTGATATAGGCACTTATCTCTATGAACTTTTCTGAGAAATGTTTTGGCTGCATCTCATAAATTTAGGTATCTTGTATTTCCATTTTTGTTTGTCTCATGGTATTTTCAAATTTCTCTTTTGATTTCTTCTTTGACCCATTGTTTGTTAAGTAGCATGTATTTGTTTTATACTATACATTGTAATTTTGCACCTGATTCACATTTTTAGTTTCTCTATTGAGAAAGTATGTCTTTCATTAAGTTAATGAATGTTCACATTTGCCTCATGGGAGATGGCTATAATATGATTCCTATAAGGTTTGGCATCTATTGATTTTCTTTTACATTAAATTTTGGTCAGATTTTCCTGGCTTTTTGAATGTTATGCAATTTTGGATTATAATACTATGATGTGAGGCTCTAGATTCTGTTAAAATCCTCTGGCGAATGCTGGGTTTTGTTTGTTTCTTTCTTTTAGCATGCAATTATGCTTGTTAGGTTCTGACCTAAATTCTGTCTCATCTACCTTGTAGAGTAGTTTCAAAGTCAGCTCAAAGCCTTTTTTATGATACTTCTCTCTGCTGGGTGCATCTAACACTCAAGGTCTAGTCTGGAATTTCGGCAGTCATTTACATTGTTGTTCAGTTCTTGAAGTTTGCTATACTTCTTTGGATCTCTTTTGTGTGTGCCCAGCTCAGTGCAGAGTCCAGAACTTATGGCAGTTCATAGCAGAAGTAGGGAATGCCATTTTTTATTTCTCTTCTCTCTATAATTTCTCTCACACTCTTGGATGCTGGGCATTTTTTCCAGTTTCACTGTTCATAAAGATGGTGTTAACTCAGTTTTAACGTTCTGTTGTGCAGTCCTGAGTGACGAATTTGGTTATTGCTGAATGAAAATTAAGATGAATGAAGAATGAGGATCAGCTGAGAATATATTTCAGAAATATAAAGGATCTTGAAGTCTGAAGAAGTTAAAAAGATTCAGATAAGAGAATAGTAAAGTATTATTGTTTCTGCAGTCAAATGTAGAAGAGATTCAGTTAAGTAGCTGGATAAGTAGAGTCAAGAAAAAACTTTCAAGCCATGTTTCTTTTAAAAAAATCAGTCCTCAGAAATCTTTTTCAAGGCAGAATGATCTAAAAAGGCATTACATACCTCTGTTTTGACTCACCCATAAAAAGATTCAGGTGCAAAGAATGAAAAACCATAGAAATAACCACACATTTTCCAAGTCTCAATATTTTGTTGATGTTTTTGGCTTTCATATCGATATGGTAGGTCAACATTTTATTTATTTATTTATTTACTTATTTATTTTCCCTTTGAACCAATTTCAATAATATCAGCCTTTTGAATCATCCATTTTGAAGAGATGAGCCATTGTGTTCTCTTTGGTGTACAATTTCTGTTTCAGTTTCTCTTACCCTTATTGTAAAAAGAACATACTCTTGTAAAACTACGTCTTTGAAAGCCTAATGTAATAAGGAAGAACAGTGTGAGAACTCTTCCTAGAATGTAGTCATAAAGTCCTGTACTATTAAAATGTAATCCAAGTGCTGGTAAGCTGATGACAATACTGCATTGTCTCTGAATGTACTGGACACTAGCTCCTCTTCTCCGTTTGATTATCGAATGGAACAACACGGCTGCTGCTTTTCCCTCGGCTTTATCAGTGAGATTGAAACAACGACTGTAAGTGTCCACAGACCTGCAGACACCCTGGAAACATTTATCAAATGCAGTCTTAAGTTACATTTTAAAAAAACAGACACCATTTTCAGGTAGTTTATCTTTCATTTCAATTTTTAACACATACAAAACCTTCCAATGTGAATGACTATTGCCTCACCAGTCCCTAGAAGTCAGATATAGTAGAGATGGAGGGAAAATCTGCCCTAAAATGACTTATTAGGAATACAGAGGAGGAAAAACTCCATCATTGTGAACACAGATCAAAGACTGGGTAAGAAAAATGGAAAGGTGAAGAGGCACTGTTTTTTAAAAAGTTTTCATGTGCTGCCATTTTGTCTACTTCAGAGTCAATGACTAATCGTTCAGTCTATCACAGGTTATATTTCATGGCTGCTGAAACAAGACACTAATATATTCAAAGAACCCCGGTAGGCTAAAGGAAAGCCAATGACAGTAGTAACTAAAGGATAGTTCAGGGCTTTAGACTTGGTCGAATTCATCATTACAATTCAAAGGTTTAAAAGTTCCCATAAAATGAAATGTTCTTTTCTGGTCAGCTATTTTCATGGTGTATGTTATTTCAATTAGGTACTTTCTGACTTCCCCTATGGTAGTAAACAAATGATGCTCCCAGTTATAAAAATTTGGCAAGGAATGTAAACTTTTAGTTTCTTTATATGATGAACAGTGGTGCTTTTGTGGTCTTATTGTTTATCACATTACAAATAAAGAAAATGGAAAATGAAACTATTTCTCTAAATGTGGAAGTAACTTCCTATTGCCTATGTGGGATGTTGTGGTCATTGGCTATGACAACGTCTGTAATAAATAGGACTTTTCAAACACAGAGGAGCACCAGAGGGGTAGGCTGCAAGAATGGCACATAAAGCATCTCCTATGGAAAGCTCTTGGAAAATTCTTGAAGAATACCATATAGATGAAGATGTGGGCTTTGCTCTACCAAATCCACTGGTAAGAGAGGGTACTGAATTATGGCAAAAATATTTTCTTATTGTTACTTACCTGGGCAAGCTAACTTCTATCTTTTTAAAAATGTCATTTAGTAATTTCTACTGAACAAATGGATAAAGCATGCCAAAACTGAAGGCAGAGTTTTAACAAATGGGTATTACTTAACTTTCTTAAAATGTTCAACCTAGAAATTAAGTCTTAAGTGCACTACTTATCTTTCATAGATATAGAGAGTGATGAGATAAGGAAACAGTAGAAGTATTTGGTTTAATACAATTGTGTTTTCAGAGGGCATTCTGAAAAAACAAACCAGAGTAATGACTGATCCATGAGTCAAAGGCATCCCCTTTCTTGGCTGCTATACCTTAAATTATACAAAGTATACATTTGCACTTCAATTAGGTTTCTGAGATGGCACATCTAGCAAGTGTGTTATATGAATAGTTTATTGTTACTAAGCGTAAGAGTCAAAGGAGTCAGAACTACTTTTCTTTTAAAAAAAGTTTTGTCTATACAGATTCATAGAGAGAAGGCAAACAGCTCAGTGGGCTGGGTGATACTGGGGAGGTGGGAGGGTTGAGCGAAGAAGAAAAAAAGAGAGAGAACTTATAGATATGAACAATGGTGTGGTGGTTGCTGGGTGTGGAAGGGGATTGGCGGAGGTGGAAGAGGCCATAGAGGGGATAAATGGCGATGGGAAAATAAAATAAAAAAGCTTTGTCTGCAAAGTGAAATGCAGGTAATGTTTACCTTAACAACTACATTTCCCTAATTTGTCTTCCAAAGAAAGCCATAAAAACTATCTTATTATCATCAATATTTTATTCATCAAATATTTATATAACATTTTTAAGCAAATTACAAATATGTACTTTTCCATCTTCACAACTGTCCTAAAACGTATGTTGGTATTCAACCTCATTTTCTGATGAGAAATGGAAGCTGTGCTCAATGTAAGTAATTATCCAAACTCATACAGCTAGCAATGGCAGAGGGAGAATGTGAGCCTAATCTGTCTGTCTCCAGAGCCCATGATCTTGAAAGCATTATACTATGCTGACTCCCTTAAGGGAAGCAGAGACTAGTCAGCATGCTTCCCTTCCCTACCCTGACTCTTTGCTTTATCAAGATAGTGAGACCACAGGAGAGTATTTCTGGGAACCAGTTAATGTTACAGCGATATGTATGACAGTGTGTCTCTGTTTGTTAGTGGCTCAAATGGAGTCCACACTCTAGAAAACACCTTTAGATACAGCAAAAATAGGTTTCATCAGACCTTTCAATCTAACTGTACTTGGAAATAATACCCTGTAAATACCTTGTGTAATACAGGAACATCCAAAGCAAATTCTTCCTCTAAATCCATTTTTTTCTCCAAATTATTAAGTTAATTTAAGAATATAAAGTATTGGTTTTAATTTTATTGCTAAAAGCACTGAGTTTACTTTTTATTTGCAAATAAATACTACTCAAACTTGCTCCCTCTCAATGCAAGCACACACAATTATCAGAATTGACTTGCATGAAGGTTGTACTTATCAATGATACAATAAAAAATAATAATAATAATAAATACATAAATAAATAACTTTTTCAGAAACTACAAAGCCTCATATTTAGCCCCCCCCCCCAAGAGTCAGTTATCTTAAAAAATAAAACAATCACGGCAATTATAGAGACCTCTAAAAGAGGTTCCAAGGGTTAAAGCAAAACCCCAAGCAGAGGCAAAACAAAACTCTCCCTGAGCTACATAAAAAATAATGTTGCTACTTGAGATGCTTAGGAATTTAGATTTTTAGCAATGAAAGATCTAGGCAGTACATTCACTATAAAGTCACCTTCCTTGTTCACTCTGGGTCCTCCCTAACCGCACAAACGCTGCACTCTACTGTTCTTAGTATTCATACATATTTTTTGTTGTGTGTTCCATTGTGTACACAGATTAAGGCTGCCCAATTGTCTGCAGCCCCTGAAAATGTCTGAATTTTATAGTACGTTTGTCTTCTTGTTGTATAACTTACTTACAAGTTGCAGCTCAAAACTTCACCCATGTTGGTTTGACTTAATCTCTTAACTTGTACCCCATCCCCAGAGGTCAGCACTGGTGACACTAAGGGCAAGTCTGAAAGTAGCTTAATGAAGGAAGGATAGGATCAGGGCATATGGGGAGTTTTCCAGGGATCTGAATCTCATTTTATAGTGTTTCCTAGGTCTTCTGTTTGTATTTTTTCCCTTCAAATGAGACACTTTTATTTGAATTTTATTTGAACTTATTGAGCAAAAAATAAGCCTATAGTGAATCAAAGTGGGCAATCAATATGTATATATACTGTGTTTCCTACATGTCCAGTATTTTACCAGGTTCTGTAGGAAACAGCATTAATAGCATGATAAAATCCTTGCCATCAGGTAATAAGATGTAAAAAGAGCATGGGTTGTTGAAAGTAGGAAACAAGTTTGGATCACAATAAACTATAAAGCGTCCAATCTTTGTTTTCCATATTTATGACATGGAGACAACAACCAACTGATATTTAAGAAATCTCATTTTTCTTCCATTCGAATAGACTTAAAATCTAGCTGAGAAGAAAGAAATAATAGCAGCTAACAATATATTACTTAACAATGGGAAAAGGTATATAACACGTAGGATTTATCATTGGGAATATGAGTGGGAACTGCATTAGTCAGGAAGATTTTAGTGGCACTTTGGCGGTGACCTTTGAAAGAGAGGCAGATGAGAGTGCTTGAGAGAAGGGGAGGAATGCCGAGGCGGTGCTGAGCCCTGGGTGTGCAGGTGGCCATGCATGGGCAGGTGCTGATAGAGACAGGCAGGTGTGTGTCGGGGCTGCACTGAGCAGCACTGATTTACAGGCAAGATAGACTATCAATGGGAGACAAAACTATTTTACAATAACTTCCACTGGTGAAAAAAATGTCCTGTTTCTTTTTTTAAAGGAGGAACTACCTTACCCTTATGATGCTTGGATTTCCATTGCTAAAAATCTTCCTGTCCTGATTAAAAATGGTGACCTACGTGCAGAAGTTGAGAAGGTTTGGTCTTCTTTTTTATAATTTGTTAACATTTTTAATTTGGTTTTGAAGCTATAATATCACCCACGTTGACTTGAGTCAACTTCTCCATTTGTTCTCAGTTACCAATGCTCAGCATCGATGACCTGCAAGGACACAAGTTGCAGCGCCTCGCACATCTAGTCTTGGGGTATATCACCATGGCATATGTGTGGGACCGAGGTGACGATGTCCGTAAGGTGTGGAGATTTTCTAATATATCTTATGGTACATACAATTTATGTTTAACGTAAAAACATTCTGAAACTATTATCACTGCATTTTGGGAAGCTTGAAAAATAGAAGAAAAAAGGGAGAGAGAAATCATTCACTGACTTTACAACGTCAACTATAATCACTATTGAATGTTTAATCTTTTACTAATATAACACAGTGTTCCATTCTGTGCAAATACATATATATCCTGCTTCTTTCACTTAAATTATATTGTAAGCATTGTTTTTTTTAGTAACTATACAATCATCCTAGTCATAATTTGAAATCACTTTATAATTTTTCATTGAGTTTCTGAACTTTATTTATTCAATCTGGTATTGAAAAATGCTTTGCTTGTTTTTAGTGTCTTAGTATTGTAAAATGATGCCACAATCAAAATATTTGAATATGAAACATTTTCCTCTATGACTTTCAGGAGATATAAACATTATATGGTTTTCTTAGTTAATGCTAAAATGCTCTCTTGCATCTGTCAGCATAGAAAAATATATTATATTGTAATTTCACTGTACTCTCATCAACAGTAGGTAACTTTAAATTTAAAATTATATCATCTTGTATTTTATCTGGCAGCCCTAGTCACATGAAACCGATATCGTCTGGAACACCTAACTTTTAAATCACAAAGGGATAAAATAGATTACAAAAGTATCTTCTTCCATCTAGTGAAAGTTTTTCCCTCTTTTGAAAAAGCTAGCTTATCTTTGTTTTTTCTTTCCATGACCTGTGATGAGTTATCCCCTCATACATAGAAAAGAGGAAAAGTTGCTCTGCATAATCACGGGACACCTTATACTTCCTTATAATCATGAAACTGCCCTGTCTAGTTTTGTGATGGCACAAAAGGTTTAAGATCAGCTCTGTCCTTGCAACCTAGCTTAACATTTAACTAAGCACATGGTCTCACTGGACTTGCTAGAATCTGAGTCTGGCTAAATTCATAGGCATTGTATATAAAAAGATTATCCATAATGCAGCATCAATAATACAGGGCAGCATATTCTAGATACAGAAGTATCAGAATTCAGAGGAGATAACTAGTAGTTGATATGATCATGAAATGCTTCAAGAAAGAAGTGGAATTTGAATTACTTCTTGAAAGATTTGGTAAAGCTTATCCAAAGACAAGGGGAGCAGAAAGAAAGAGAGAGAAGACTAACAAAAAATGTGGAGACCAAAATGGACATAGCAGAATGAACCGGTAATAAATTTACCAGGCTGGAGATCAGAATTATAAAATAAAACATAGAAATGTATTTTTTAATTTATCCAGTTTTTGTATGCCATATCATTTGGAAAGAGATCTTAGTAGCTGGCAATGAAAAAAAGATTTTAAAAGATTTTAAAATTTTAAGTCAAGAAATTATAGGAAGGCTAAAAGAAATGGATAAAAAATAAGCTACATCAACATAAGGCACATTTCCCTGGAGAATGGGCAAGAAATTAGCAATCTGGCTTCTTAGCAGCTGCATGAATGTCTATAATAGATTAATATTTCTTTTTCCTAAGTCATTTCAAACTAATTACTTGATTAAACTTTTCCCCTTTTCTTCCATTTTTATCTTTTCTCTAATTCAGAGAGGGACACAACTTATTTGCCTTTGAAATATGTGGAAAACATTTGCCAAACAGAACATTTCAATTCCCAGTGGCACAAGGTCTGCAAAGGGAAGAGCACATGCAAGGGTTCTTTTAATAGTCAATGATTCTATTCCAACATTTTTGCTATTTTTGGTAAAATCATCATTTCCAGTGTTGTGCTAAACGAATCTGAAGTCACTTGGATTGTAACTCCCATGATTATCACTGTGGGGTGGGCTACATAGTCACACCATCTCTACCACTGAAGTCCCACCACCCACTACCTCAGATGGGCAACACATCCCTGTCCTTTGCCTGATTAGATATGCACAGGCTGCTGAGGACAAGCATGACCATAATTATTACACGGGACCACCTAATTATAAACAAAATATAGATAGATGAGAAGTCAGGCAGATGAAAAATGAAATGCCAGCTTCATGACTAATAGAGCAGGGGAAGAATTTGGCTTGAGTATGTGGCAACCATGGACCTGGTTAGTGTGCTTACCCATGGGGGTAGGAGCCTTTTACTATGTGGCCCAAAGCAGAGCAAAATCCATGAGTAACAGGCTCAGGAAAAGGAGAGTTGAGGAGAAAAGGGGGCTGAGTTGTAGTTTCACTCACAAACTCAGCAATTAAATTAGCTTCTAAGGAAGGGTGAGTGAAAGCGCTAAGAGTGTCACTCCAATTGATTTATTTTGCATGGAAATATAAAACAAGGGTAATTCCTCCTATCAACACAGGTAGGCCTTTAAGGCCAAGCATCAATGTCACTCTGTGGTGAGGTTTCCTAAAAAATCATCCAGTAGAGATTCTGTCAGCATTGTGCTCTAAGAGCAGCCATCTTTTTACTAGTCTGCATCATAACCAAAAGCCTTCATTATAAATAACTCTGAGCTTCTTTGAGACTTACTAACTTTGCCTTGGTATTGTGGGCAGATGGAGAGTACCTTGCATAGAAGAGTTGCCCGACCAGTATTCATGGGATGGATAAATGAATGAATGCAAATAACTCACTGGTCATTAGAAAGCCAAGGATACAGTCATTGTTCCCCTTGCCCTCTACCTCTGTTTTTCTCTATGGTTAGGTTATGACCACATCAATACACACCCAAAACCCAAACATTTAACAATCAACCTGGACTAAGTTATGAAATGAGGAAGAGAAAATTACATTTGTTCTCAAAGTGCCATTCTATATAACAGCTCATGTTTTGGCACCCAGGAAGCAGAGGAAAAGGTAAGACACCTCCAAGTTTATACTAAATATTGTGTTTTAATTAGGTCCTGCCACGCAATATTGCTGTCCCTTACTGCAAACTCTCTGAGAAGCTGGGACTGCCTCCCATTCTGGTTTATGCAGACTGTGTCTTGGCAAACTGGAAGAAAAAGGATCCCAGTGGGTATGTAAACAATGACTATAATAAAAATGAAAGGAGTGAATGCTTTTTAAATCAAAAGGGAGTCATTGGTTTAATTTTTGGCAACACATATTTCTTCTCTGTTTGGAGAGTAAGGTTACTTTGATTTATCTATAACCACAAATGTATTACACATATATGAGAGAGAGGTTTATAATTAACATATAATGAAATGCACAAATCTTAAGTGGTCAGTTTGATGAGTCTGACTATTATAAGCACATGTGTAACCCTAAGAAAAATACAGAATATTTCTGTCACCTTGGAAAATTCTTTTGTGGTTCTTTCCTTTCAATTCCCTTCTCTAACCCCAGGTAGGTGTATTTTGACTTGTCATATCAGAAGTTAGTTTTTTGTGTTGTATTTCATAGTGATGAGATCATAGATTAGTACTCTTTTGTGTCTAGATTCTCTTGATTAACATGTTTCTGAGAGCTTACAAATTTAATTTTTAACTATCAAGTTGAGTTTAAGAGTCAAGCTCTTCAGCAGTAGAAAATGGCAATGTCTGGGTTTTCTGGAGTAGCCTGCTCAGAATTTAGGCCCTTCCTAAGCATTTAGTGATGGGATCTGCTATAGTAAAGGGATAAGATCATTAGCCCTGTGTGTCTATCTACAGAAGACTATTCTAGACATGGGAATGGCCCCAAATGAAAGGATTTGATCTAGGAAAGTTTTTTTGTTAGTTACAACCAGTTTGACTATTCATGTGTGTTCCTTGCATATTTAATTTTGATTTTTCTTATAAAACCCTAAGTTAAGTGTTTTCAATGACTACTTGAAAAATATAAAAATAATTTTCTTTCTTTTTTATTCTACTATGTCTTACATTTAATAGTAGAATTAAATCTAATAGCAGTACTTTAGTAGAGGTATTAAATTTAATAATAGTAGCATTAAATCTAATAATGACAACTTGAAACCATTTGATTTTTAAATTGGTTTTCTTTCTCTCTTCCAATTGGTCCATTACTTCATTGCTGCTTTCACAAGTCCCATGACGTATGAGTAAGTATTTGATTCTTATTTTAGTCTAAGAATTATTTGTTATTCAAAGTGAATATAGATTTATCAATATCCTCCAAATGCATTTTTAAAAAGGTTAATTGAGCCCAGCCAGGCGTGGCTCAGCGGTTGAGCATCAACCTAGGATCCAGGAGATTGCAGTTTGATTTCCGGTCAGGGCACGTGCCCGGGTTGCGGGCTCACAGCCGATCAATGACTCTCTCATCATTGACGTTTCAACTCTCTCCACCTCCCTTCCTCTCTCTGAAATCAATAAATATATATTTTTTAAAAAAGGCCAATTGAATTCAGGCAAAAAAGTAATTTAAATAATTGTTTAAAGAGCAAATAATCCCAGCCTTTAACTCTATCTATGACTGTGGTGTGACTGTTTGACATTATAGCTATAGATATATACTAAAGTAATATTTGCATATGTACATAAATGTAATTAACAGGCTTAAATAAAAAGTGCACATACATCTGTGTATGACTTAATGAACTCAGGGGTCAGAAACATAAAGCTGTTCTTTTTCACCCAAGCCTTGCTATTTTTGAACAATATACTAGGCAGAGGCTAAGAGCTAGGGATATAAGCTCAATAAGGTCAATGTCCTACGTCCAAGCCTGCCCTGGTGAAGGTGGATTAGTGGAGAGGAGGAGTCCCTGTGACAAGTTATTTGAGCTGAGTCCTCAAGAACAGTAGGAATTAGCTAGAAGAGAAACAACAGAACATGAGAGTGTCCATTGTGGAGGATAAGGCAAGTGACAAAAATACTTGGTGCATCATATAATTTTGTAATCAGTGTCAGTCCAATAAATTTGATTAAAAGGAAACAAATCTTGGTGCATTGTCAGAGCCGAAGTTGCTGATAAATGAATGACCAAAGTAACAGTATGGGAAAGAAGTGAAGAATTAGACTTAAAAAAAGAATATATAGGGTTTTTAAACCCCTATGACAAGGCATTTAAACAATATTTTAAAATAAATGGGAAGCTATGAAATGTTTTTAGGTGAAAGGGTATCATCAGTCTCGTTTTACAGATGAGAATGTTAATGCAGAAACAGGAGGACTATTAATGCTCAAAGTAACACAGCAAGTAAGTTACAGAAGTGGTCTGGCTTCAGAGAATCATGGCTTTAACCACCATGAAAATCATGGATATACAGATACTGAGACCTGTTTGCACAAACGCAGAACGTCAATATGAAAGAAGTCAGGGTCTATTCAGTTGTTTGAATTTGCCAGCCAATTCCTTTGTAAGGCAGATAAACCACTGAGAAACTGAATCCGATTCACAGATAAAAATATAGATATGAATACAGTTATTTCAGCAAAAAGACTACTTCTTAAAATGAGACCACACAGATATTTCTATAAACACTGAGTGTGTGTAAATGTATGTGTGAATATATGTACGTATATATACATGCATGTGAAAAATTAATGGAGTAACATATAAGTGGTCTTGGAATTTCTAGTTCCAAGTTCTAGAATGGCATTTCAAGTCCTAGCTTAATCTATTAATGATATGATCTCAGACAGTGGACCTACATTATATTCCTGACTATGTAATGGAGATAGTAAAACCTGTAATATTTATCTCACAAGATTATTTGGAAAATAAAACGAGGGAAGTAAAAATGTTTGAAAACTATAAAGTAGTCAACAAATATACCGATATCCTTGCTACCTTCTTGACTTTTTGACTGATTTTCTTAGGAACATGGACATTCTGTTTGCATTTCCTGGTGCGGACTGCAGTAAAGGATTCTTTCTGGTTTCTCTGTTGGTGGAAATAGAAGCTGCTTCTGCAATAAAGGTATGTCCATCACCCTGGAAAATTTGTATCTTAATTCATATAAGCAGAAAAATCACTTAGTAAATGAACTATATTATGCATAAAGTAACTTTATCCTGACTAACTATAGCATTTGGTTATTTAATTGGAGGTAAGGGATCATCTGGTAGTTACAAATATTTTATTTTTTGTGCACTGCCTAAAATATAAAATGTAGGAGCCATTTATTTAGAATCAAATGTGAAATCCCAATAAGAGGAATATCTTCAAGGCAATTTGGCAGGGGAACTATATCACATAGTGACATAAATCTAATGGCTTTGACTATTGGAAGTAGAAATAGAAAGATATAAAATTCTATAAACTTATCTCTAAATGATAAATACAGAAACACAAGTCCAAACTTAAGGATACATAAGAAAATTAGTCAAACAATTGGAAAATGCCTACCTCAAGAAAGAAGTGAAAATTCCCAAATTTAATATCAGGATTAAGACTCAGGAGGATTTTATTCTACGCCACTGTTTAATGCTAGGAAATCTTAAGTGTTTATCTTTAAAAATTTTTTTTTTTAGATAATTCCCACCATATTCAATGCAGTGCAGCGTCAGGATGGAGATACTTTGCAAAAGGCACTGCTTGACATAACTAATTGTCTGCACAGGGCCCTTGAAGTGTTTCACGAAATTCATAGTAAGTATTATATGCCATATCACATTCTAGGCCTCGGACACGTGTTTCTGATTATCTAAGACATAGAGCTGTTGACAAAATGGAAGCAAAAACACTCTCACCTAGTGGGTGTGTTTTGATTTCATTTTATCTCACTAAATCTTTACATTTTCCAAGCGGTAGTTTTCATTATGCCCATTTTATAGAGAAAGGAGGTTAAATTTGGAGAGATAGGATAAATGACCGAAGGTTACATAGGTAGTAAATACTGAAGCCAGAATTCCAAGCTGCATCTATTTAACTCGAAGAAACACCCTTGTCTCTCATTAAAAACCTTGGAGAAACTTGCCAAGGGTGCAGGCTGTTCTCAGTTCTGAAAGACAGCTTCTGCTTGATAGGAACTCTATATACAAATTCTGCTTTTTCACAAGTTAAGTAAGAAACAATGAAGAAAACCATTGGACTCAAAAGTAATTGAAAAATTAACAGCTACAAGACAATAATAACCAAAAAAGTACATAAACATGATTTGCAAAAGGAAATTTGCCCTACTGGAAGACATTAACAAGTACGTGACTGTATCACTGGGATTTGAGTTACTGCTGAGTGGTCCTTGGCAAGAAGGCTGACCTTTAACTCAAAGACATTAGAGAGCTTTGTATCTGTGTATGGGGGATGGGGGACCTAGGAATGTGGTCTGTAGGACTGCTGGAGTTTTTGTTTCTGTTTTGCTTTTTGTTGAGATCTGTTTGTTTCTTTATAAAAGTAATTTATCTGTTATGTCAGTAAGCACATGAAGTGGCCTTAAAGAAACGCTGACAGTTTAACTGATCAGAGGATGAGTGGTAGGTGGGTCCAGGCTTTTGGATACAAGCTGTGTGTTAGCCCTATGGTAGAAGTCATTCAGGAAGCACAAGAGATGAGTGAGGCTCACCTGGGAGAGCGCAAGTGAGTGAGAGCTTGCCCTCATGGGTTTTCTCTACAAAGACTGACCTCATGCCTTTCCTGCATCCTTTGCTGAAATCCACTGTCAGTTGTTTATAATATCTTAATTTCCCTTTATACCCCTGATGCTACCTAACTAAATACATTCCATCTTTTTACAGAATACGTGGACCCAAACCTGTTTTTCAATGTTCTTCGCATATACTTGTCTGGGTGGGTAGCCTCATGCTTGAATTTTTCTCTTGTACAATTAACATAAAGAATACACCAAGTTTCCACTAATGGTCCCCATTATCCATCATGTTTAGAAAACATTGTTTTAATACCCTAAAATACATGTTGTAAAAAAAGAATAGACTATTTTCTCTTATTACTCGGCCAGGCACAAACGAGTATGGACAGGAAAGGTAGGCATTTTAAAGACAGAAAAGTGACCTTCACTAATGCAAAGGTAGGTTCCATTCATAGAATACTTAGGCTAAATTTGCTCAGAGCCATGTTATTTCTTATTCTCACGCATGCACAAGAGAGGAAAGGGGAATGTGTAAGATGAAGAATGAAATATATCTCGTCACCTTCCATTTACCCTTTATTGCAAGATTCTATATCTGAGAAATTGGCAATTAATTCAAATAATGATTCTCTTTCCTTCCTGGCCCAGCTGGAAAGGCAACCCCCAGCTGCCAGAGGGTCTGATATATGAAGACGTCTGGGACATCCCAAAAAAGTTCGCTGGGGGCAGTGCAGCTCAAAGCAGCATCTTTCAGTGCTTCGATGTTCTGCTAGGCATCCAACAGAGTGCCGGTGAAGGTGAGCAGAAAATGACAAATAATCGTCTCTTATGTTAATAGAGTAGATTTTTTAGTATTTAAAAAATACCTTCTCGTCAGCATCTTATCTGAGCTTATCTGATGCTTTTAGGAGAATCAGTAAAGTAGAACTCGTGTTGCTATCATCCTATTTCACAGATGAAGAAGCGGAAAGTTAGAGAGGATAGTGAATGTCTCCCTGTTAACCAGCCAGACTCAAACCCAGTTCATCATCCTCTCGATCTTGATATTTAAACATATATTTATAAGGCTTGATTGACTGTGGTGAAACCTGTAGCACATGTTCTGAAAATGTACAGTCAGGTTCAGAAAGAGAAAATCACCTGCAAATGAGAGGACTGTAAGTAGAAGTTGGGGAGGTGGAGACTTCAGTGACAAGAAGAGGACTGATTGGCACTCCTCTTGTTCAGCCATCCTGTTGCCCCAGCAACCAGGGTCAATGCTTGTACCTAAGTTTGAAAATGAGCGACATTCATTATGCTCCTTCTAAGGGCTTAAAAGAAGGGCTTCTTTCTCTTTTTCTCTTTCTTTTTAAACTTCTGTTTAGTAGGGATAGATGAAAACATGCCCTTTTTTAGTTCTTTCACTTATTCAAAAATTATCTTTAAACTTTCTTGGACTTGGTATCATAATCTGTCAAGTACAAATTACATATGTGCTGACTATATCAGTGACTTCTTTGAAGGATCAAGTAGAGTAAGAAAGAGAAAGGAAGCACACACAAAAATCTGTATTATGAGAGAATGAATTTATCTCATCAGGTTTTCAAAATCAAGTATATTTTACAATAATGGCCACTACTAGTAAGAAGACTAACAGCTTTCTAATGGGATGGATATAAACTCATTGCCTTCTGTCGTGCTGTTGGCCTGTAATCTTCCACCCACTTTGACTTTACTCAGCCTTTCTTCCCTGGGTTGCTGAAGGCTTCAATTTCTCTACTAACTCATCTTTCACTTGTCCCTTCAGCATCAGCTGCAGAATTTCTCCAGGAAATGCGAACATACATGCCACCAGCTCACCAGAAGTTTCTTGGCTCATTAGAGTCAGGCCCTTCAGTTCGGGAGTTTGTCCTTTCAAAAGGGGATGCTAGCCTACAGGCAACTTATAATAAGTGTGTGAAAGCTATGGTCTCCCTGAGAAGTTACCATTTGCAAATAGTAACTAAGTATATTGTGATTCCTGCAAGCCAGCAGCCCAGACAAAACCAACCTGCTGATGAGCCATCAGAAGTGGAAAATAAAGGAACTGGAGGTACTGATGTCATGAAATTTCTAAAGAGTGTAAGAAGTACAACTGAGAAGGCCCTGTTGAAGGATAGTTAATATAACCCAAGAAAAGGTACATTTTGTCAGGACAAAGATGTCTGTATGCATTAATGCTATTCATTACATCAAACCCACAAATTAATATGTAAAAACTTCCTAATGGTACATTATAAAAGATTTCAAGATATTTCATCGGATGCCTATGAGTTCCTTGCATGAAAACAATAAAAAGCAATTATATTAGAAGTGTTATGATCTGTATAATATAATTAAAATGTAATAATAAAAACTGAAGTATAATAAAATGCCTAAAATTTGATTAATTCATAACTACAGTTAAATATTGCTCCAAATGAGACTTACTCCACACTGCTACCCTTCAAGCAGGGCTAATAGATTCTGGTACTTTCCCTTTAGTAATTTTTTCAGAACTGTTTACTTGTCTACATTTTCTTTACCATAAAAACTTCATGATAACAGGAGCACTATCGTTTACCAGCCCCATGCATCTCTAGTTCTTAATTAGATACATAACAGATATATTAGATGAATATTTCACAGACCGAGTGATTTCATGAATAAATCAATATGTGCTAACAAGTAGTCGCATTTGAAATATAATTTTTTCTAGGAAAGTCAGAGTTTTCAGGCACTAACACTCTGGCATGAATTTATTTAATAATGGAATCTAATAAAGTTAGGGCTGGAGAAAGATTCAAAACCATATGAGACAAACTCATTTCAAAGATGACAGAGTTGAGACTCAGAAGAGTGAAATAACTTACTTAAGATCACACCATTAGTTGTAAATGGGAGGAGAACTTAACTTTTTTGACAAGTCTCATCTTTTTTCACTTGACTTAGAGTAAACTAGGTTAGAGAAGATGGAATTTTGGAAGTGGGTGGGGGAGAAAATGAGATGATATAGTAGGATCTCATGAGGTAGTAGATGGTTAGCCAGAAATTGGGTATTCTATTAAATATGAGAAGAGAAAAAGGCACAATGGTTGTATGGATACTAGATTAGCAAGCACTTTCAATTTATGGAATGCCCAGCTCTGAGGAGATGGGTTGAGCACACCCAAGTAAATTTGAGGAAGGAAATGCAGTTACACATTTCTAAAGTCAAACATCCGAAAATTATTTTAACATTGTTTCTCAAAGACACCCTGACCAAAGGAAATCAAGTGGAATCTTCCTGCTTACAACAAAATTTCATTTGATTTCCTAGAAAATACACCAAGCATCAATGGTATATGTTACACATTTACTTCTTTATTTTTCAGTCAATATTTCTGCAATGAATTTATATGTTTCTAATAAAAAAGTATGCATACTTGTATACATACATACCAAATACATATATGTGTGTGCACATGACTATAATTTAAAAAAAAAAAATACATCTTCATTGATTTCAGAGAGAGGAAGGGAGAGGGAGAGGGAGAGATATAGAAACATCAATGATGAGAGAGAGACATTGATCATGCCCCCTGCACTCTCCCTATTGGGGATCAAGCCCACAACCCGTGCATGTGCTCTGGCTGGGAATTGAACCACGATCTCCTGGATCATAGGTCGATGCTCAGCCACAAGGTAATTGTGAGGATGGAATTAAACCTAGTGCTAAAGTGCTGTACACTGTAAAGTAGTACTAGAATGTAAGTAAGTAAATTGCTAAGCATCATTTATTGGCTCCAAGTCAAGATTTTTTTCTGTCCTTTCTGCTACACTGAACACTCTGGTTCTACAGCTACACATCCCAGGGCTACACATCAGGAGTTTCTCCCCCAGAGTTGGTTTTACCTAATTAGCATTGAATCACCTTGAAACTCAGAGCATCTTTGGTCCCCTCAGCAAGACCCTGCATTATATCTTCTCCTCTAGAACATCACACCCATCTGACATGGGAGCAGAGGTAGATAGAGGAAGGAGAAGGCAAGGAGCATTGTCACTGACATTTCACTGTTGCTTTGTAGGTGATGAACAGACTGAAACCCAGCTTCCAATTCTCCACAGAGAGTGTATACACTTATCCCTCAGAGTCTGTTCTCTTCTATCTGTCCAAATAAGCGATGCCAAGATCCTAAACACACTCATAGACCCAGAGAACAAAGTGATGGTTGCCAGATGGTTGGGGGCTTGGTGGAAAAGGTGAAGGGCTTAAGAAGTACAAATTGTCAGTTACAAAATAGTCACAGGGATGTAATGTCTAGCATAGGGAATATAGCCAATAATTTATAATAACTATGTATGGTGCCAGGTGGGTACCAGATTTATAGGGGACCACTTTGTAAGTTATATAAATGTCTGACCACTATGCTCTACATGTTAAACTAATATAATATTGAATGTCAACTGTAATTAAAAAATAAAAGATAGAATCACCTTTAACTTAACAACAACAACAAAAAGATTCCTGATTTCCCTTTAACTCATCTCTGGACTGGGAGAGGTATGACAAAATTCTGGATATGTTTCTAAAGAAATCCTCCTATTCTTTCTCCCCATGCCATGTGCTCTCTGCTCATCACAGTGAGTGGTCCTATGGGAGGAGAAGGGTCAACAGAGGGTGAAGGTAATGTCCTACCATAAGAGGTTTCAGCCTGGCCAGCATGGCTCAGTGGTTGAGTGTCGACCTATGAACCAAGAGGTCACAGTTCTATTCTAGTCAGGACACATGCCTGGGTTGTGGGCTTGATGTGCAGAAGGCACCCGATGAATGACTCTCTCTCATCACTGATGTTTCTATCTCTGCTTCTCCCTTCCTCTCTCTGAAATCAATAAAAACATAATTTAAAATAATAGGAATAAATAAATAAATAAATAAATAAATAAATAAATAAATAAATAAATAGAACTGCTATTTAAAAAAGAGAAAAGTTTTAGCTAAATGTAATAAATTCTTAGTAACATGGATCCTATATAAATAGAATTAATGATAATTTCATCCCTGCCTGTGTCCTAGAAAAATCAGAAATTTCTAGTGGTATATTCCTCCCCATGTTATTTTCCACAAGTGTGGAGACTTTAGCTCAAAATATGTATCTTTTTCATATTTTAGATAGAATTCAGAAAATTAAGTATTCCTTATCCCCTTTCTTCTAACTCCTTCTAATTAATTTTTGTACAATAAATGATTGAAGTTGCTTATGTGTAATTTATATCCTATTCTTCTCACTCTAATATGTTAAATATAATATGACATGGTATAGAGTAAGGGTCAATTCATATCGCTCTGAACTCCTTATATCCTTATCGAAGAGCTAGTGCAGAGAATTATTATTGGTCACCCATGAGTTAAAGATAAAAATTTACTCATTTCCACTGAATTGTTTTAGGTTACAATAAACAATGGAAAAGTCAGAAGTTCAGAAAGGCTTAAACTTTGTCATATAAACATGCACTTAAAATTATCTAAGGTCCCTGCCAAGTCTGAAATACAATGGCCCATGCAATGCAGGACTCCCTCTCTAACACTTCTGGTAATAGAGCAAACTCCTATTTAGAGCTTACTCTTCTGATTACTGCTTCAACTGGTGTTCACTAGCTCATTTAATCTTCAAAGCAACTCTATGAAAATAAGTATTATTATCCCTCCATTTTACAGATGAGGAAAATGAGTTGCAAAGATGTCAGGAAATATGTTCAAAAAACACAAGAGGCTAAGCCAGGTATAAACTCAGGTACTCTGGATCAAAAGATTGAGCTCTTAATTAAGATAGGAAGAAATCTACCCAGCTTCTGTGGGAATACTTCCAGAGAAGAGGAACTCATTAACACAGAAGCTTGAATCACCTTTGCATAAGTATTCTTCTAGTCACTTGATATTTAAAAATTAAAAGCACATTCACTAATTCTAATCAGTATATAGTCTAACAGACAAAACATCATATTGTATTTCCATTGGTTGGTTACCTTTCTAATTGTTAGGCTAATAAGAAAAATAATGTGAGATAAAGGCACACAGATTTATTCTCATTGGAAGGGTTGAAAGAAGTTTCTTACAAGAGGTAATATTCGATGGTTACCTTTAAAGTTTGTTACAATTTAACTGAAAAAAATAAGTCTCCTGAATTTCCAGCATTAAACAAACAAGCAAACATATAACTTTACTTGTCAGCCCAGCCTTATAAAAGTCAAGAAGAAAATATAAACAATATGAATTCTGCAAATGAAGATCAGAATTATTTAATATATGAAATCTTATCATAGAGTATTTATTTATTTATTTATTTATTTATTTATTTATTTATTTATTTATTTATTTATAGCATCTCATTTACTAAGAAAAAACAAAAAACA